ACATGACAGTGGAATCACTATCTATAAATTATTTAACTTTTGCATGATCTCAAAATTATGATTACTGATGTTGTGTTTTTTGAAATATATCGTTTTAAATATGGATATTATTGTCTCATTGACAGAGAAGTGAATTTCTATTGTAATAATTACTTTTACTGGTTGGAAACTGACTCCACTATACTCTTTGAACCAGCAAAACTTGCAACTTTAATTTTGCATGACATTAACTGATTTTCAATACTAACATGTAGAACATTTGAATAAATTTAGATACAATGAGCATTTTTTCTATTAGCCAGATAAATATGACATCTGCAGAAGATTAAATCTATCTTGATTGTTAACAGTAATAGATTATTTCAGATCAACTAGTGATATGAATATTTTACTCATTACTCTGTCAGTTGTAAATAAATTGTGTGCTGTCCTTATTGAAACACCCACCTAAAAAATATTGATTCTGTCTATAACACCAGACAATTACAAGCAAACAAATGAATGGCTCAAGAAAGATTCTGAAAAAAATTCATTTCACCAGAGGTGGCAAAAAGTTTGTGAACATAGCACAATTAAAGAAAATCATGTCAACCAGCCCATTCTTGCAGACAGTAATGGGAATAAAATCTAAAATGTGATAGTTTTTGATGCGCTCGATAGCTCTCTCTACATGGATTCGCAATGATGCAATTCTTCTTGTGTTGAGCATTTCTTGTTCAGTAAATTGTCCTGCCTCATTCATATAAGGTGGAACATTTACTTTAACCCCTTTACTTGCTAGTAATTCTTGGATATTGAATCCTCTGTCAGCCATCACTTCATCTCCATATTGAAGTTTATCCATGAGTTTAGATTTCACAGTTATCTCTTTGTCAGAGATAGACCCACCATAAAGATTAGACACAAAACAAACACTACCACTTGGTGTAATTCCAACTAGGGCCTTCAGAGTATTGCCGTTTTTATAGGTAGAGAAAGTGAGCTGCTGTGCTTCAGGATTAGTTGGTGTTTCAATGTACAATTCAGTTGCATCAATTATCACTGTTGTACCATTGTATTTATTCCTGAAGCATTCAGGTTTATGTGCTTCAATTACCTCCCTTGTTGGGAAAATGTCTAGCTCTGAGAATCTAAAATATATGAACTTTGTCCATGTAATGATGATTCGGCTCACAAGACTTTGGCAAATACCAAATCTGACTGCTACATCCTCCTCTAAAAGACCAACTTTGTAACGACACAGCAAGAGAAATAATTCATTTTCCACAGAGAGAGCTCTTCTTGGACCTTGCTTCTCTCTCTTGGGTGGATTCTGCACTAGTTCAGTGTTAGTGTAATTTAACTGTTTTGCTGCTTCTCTTCCAAGGAAATTAAGAACTGTAGTAAAAACAGCATAACTGTTGAAGCCAGTGTAGAATCTCATTAAATTATCGTTTTCTTTGATGTTGTCGATATTAAACAAACTTCGATTAAGCTTCTCTTCTAGTGTCTTTCTTGTCTCTCTCTCCTGTTTAAGTTCGTGTTCCAATTGTTTTACTTTCCCTTCCAATTCGTTGATAATTAATTGTAGAGACTGATCCTGACTATTGTCTGCTTCTTTTATGGACTGTCCCACTTCATTTGATTCTGTTAATGGAACGGCGTTAGCAATACTTTCGTCACTATTTAAGCCTGCAGTTTCTTGACGTTGAGTGGCCATATTCGAACGGTGTTGTGGGGCTTTTCTTTGTGTCTGAACTTTTGTAAAGCTGAAAAGAGTAGGCACAGCATCTACCTTCAGCCTTCCCCTTACGCCTCCAGGAGACTTTTGAAAACATTCTGGGGCAAAATGATCGCTACACAAAAATGAACTTTTCGTTTTTGGAGTGTTGGTTCTTCGTATGTTGATCAGCCATTTTTTTAGTCTTTTCGAGTCATTTAGGGGCAGCGAATGCCAAGAAAGGCCTTTACATTCAACCTTGTTACTCCTGTTCACACAGCCAACTGCTATACAATGCCTTACCATCTCCTTTCTTCAAAAGATTCGGAGAACTCAGCACTGTTTTTGTGAAATATAAATGATGACACAAAGAAACTCTAGAAAATCTAAGGTCTTGACCCAATAGCCTCGTTCCCGTGTAACGACCGCTGAATCGCTGGCTCAGACGTACTAACAGCTATTACAACTGCTTAGATGACCCCACATGTTAAATCTTTCTCCCACAATTAGGAAATACCTTGTGCGACTTTCATATGTTCACCTGCGCAAAAAAATAACTTCATAATACACCAAATATTTTTGATGATGAGATTACTCACTATTCAAATTCAACTCAAATCTCATAAAGATAATCCCCTAAGAAATAAGCTACCCAAATCTATAACATTGACTCTAAGTTAATGACTCACATGTTTATTTTTAAGCCACAAGAAAAATTATAATTCTTCTAATAACAATTTTTTCTCTAGGATATGTTGCTGATCTAAAAGTGAGTGTTCTGCGTATTCTCGAGGGAATTGACACCTGCGTCTTAGAAAGAGCTGCTACACCTCAATCGCTGTCATCAGATTTTGAGCAGCCAGATAAGCAGGCTGCTATAAATGCCTTCAAATCAAGGTTTAAGAACAATTAAAGTACCCGACAATGTGTAACAGGAAAAAGTTTGTTCCATTGTTTCGAAAATGATGTAAATCAATTTATTGGCTCCTTGCTCTCTATAACAAGGACCAACAAAGATAATGGCTTCACTAGCAATCTTTGGTACCCTTCAAACAGTGCCAACTACAGAACATTACTAGACCAAAATAATCTATGAGAATAAACGTTCGAATAAGCACAAAGTCTTTGATCTACTCGTCGGGAAATCGAAATCCTTCAAATAAAAAAATCATCTTCAGTTCCCATCTGATGCCTGATATATTCTGTACGAATTACTTCTTTGAGCGTGTGACGCCGTCACAGCCGTCACCACCCGATTCGCTCGAAATTAACCGCTTACATGCGGATTTAATTAGCATCAAATTAACGCATACAAGCAGTCAAAGTAGGGCCTATTTACCTATCGTGAGATGAAGGAAATCAAGGCCTGGTCTCACAGCCAGCTAACCCCTTGAAACGCAAATTAGATACCGTTATGCCTCCTAAACGAGATTTTAGATCGAAAAAAAAATTTGAATTTAGTAACTTTCAAAGGGGGAAAAGCTGTGAGGAAGGCGAAGTTTAGTGTTCCTGTTCGATATTCCTGTTTGATATGCCCAGCAATTTATTGATTCAACGCCTGTGGCCGCCTGATCTTTGAACGCAGGCAGAGGTTTTTCTCCAGATCAAGAAGACCTTCCCGATATTGACGAACCTCATGGCTTAAGAACTAAAAAAAAATCAAAGGTTACAAAAGTACGGCTGAGGCGCAAGCTGAAAGCTTACCATGGAAGGAAAGCCACGCTGGCTGCGTCCTGGCTCAATGCAAGAGAGCTGCTTGTCTCAGCACTCTTGACAAGACAGGCTTTGCCTTTGGAGCAGATGTGTGTCATTCCTTTTTGCGAAGAAAAGGCATGCGGCAGATGCCTTGACTGCAGTCCTGGGCACTTTATGTGTGAAAAGCACATCAATTT